CAGGAACACATAGCATATTTAATCTGCAAACTGTGAGAGTCTACAGTGATTTCAGCAAGATCTGAGGCATGCCCTCAAGGTTTGCTGGGATCTGGGATTAGGGGGCTGATAAGAACCTTTGCTGCCCATGGACATGTTTTTCTTCTGCAGTTAAACACAAATGCATAGAGACGTTTTGACTGCTGCTTGGCGTTACTGCTCAAGTTATATAAAAGCTTTGCAGCTCCTTTTGCTGTCAATATATCAAAGTTTAAAAAAATCATCAAAGTGTGAAATTTCATTTAAAGTCTTCACTGGTCTACAGCTCTATTTCATAGGCCCATCAAATAAAAGTAAAGATGAAAAATACAGTGAAAGTACTTGAAAAAGTTTGCAGCGCTACCCCTGCCCTGTTGTTGTTTATTCTGTCTCCCTTCATTTGCTTTGAAACTAGAACAAATCAATTTTCATCTAGAAAAATGACAACATGAAGCGAAGGGCAGCATTTTCTCATACACTTTAATGAAAAGACAACCTGAAGTCACTATTAGAGTGGGGTCTTTTGCTTAACAAATTAAATACACACACATTCTCTCTCTAGTCACTTCAGCATTTTAATTGCCTCTCATGATATAAGTTGGCAGAAAATTTCTTGAATCTTCCAAAACAAATCAGACTGACTATAGGATATGAATGCCAGCAAAACTAAAACCTCCTTCAAAGAATTCTTTAGCTGGGGATTTACAACAATCGTATAAAGAAGAAAAGTCTGACTTTTAAGATAATCTACTATAGTCTAAAAGCATTAACATTCCATTACTAAGGTTTTCTTGAGGATTTCATGACTCACTGATTCACTTTTCCTTCAAGACTGCTTTTTCCTAGTACATTACTGTCCATATAAGTGAATACATGGAACAATGATCATTAAATTGTTTCCTTTCATAAACTCCCAAGCCCTAGCCTCAAAAAAGGGGGGGAGGGGAATCTCAGTGAGCTGGATACCTTACAAAGAAGGAAGGACCTCTAGCCAGCTATGCACAGAAGTCTGAAACCCTTACAGCATGCAGGTAATTAAGAAAACTGGCCTAGAAACAAAGAAAAGTTCAACTTTAGGCTTGGGCATCAAATTGATAAATTAATGACTCATTAAATAAGTAATGAAATAACTCAACAGAGCCATTTTTCATCAGTACTCATTTTCTCATTTCTGTGTGTAGTTTTTTTTTGCAAATCAGACATACAATAAAACGTGTTGATAGCAGGGTTCAATCAAGAAATACATACGCGTTAAAGGTAGACATCGAGTTGGACCTACTAACCTATTAATTATAACATAATCTATACCTTTTAAAGTGCTTCACAAGACACCTCCCTTGTTGGACTCATTCAGGCATCCTAAACCAAAGCTTCCCTAGGCTTACTTTAACAATTACATACTTTGAAAGGATCTTCCCTTAGGCAGGGAGTTTCTAATTAAATAGCTTTTAGCATAAAATAAATTCTCTTCTCTCTATAAGTATGCTGGCTGTTACAATTTAAATGTTATTTCATGTTTGTTTTAGGTCTGACTATAACTGGCAGAAGTGTTTGTGTACCAGGTTAAGACCAGTATTCCCTAACATAAACAAATTCTTTAGATACTTCACACAGTTTACATTGTTAAGACCAATCACCATTGCCTTAATATATTCAACTGAAATACTGTTATGTTTTCGAAAAATGAGAAGATTTTGAGGTTATTTCACTACTTTAAAACATAGCATTTTCCTCCTTCAAAATAATCTTGACACATGTAATTAAGAAACTGTCAGGCTATTATTAATTTTTAATTTAAAACCTAAATGAAAAAATTACCAGAATCAATCAATAAGGCACCTATTCAAATTACAGAGCAATTACGTAAATACTCAAAATTAATACTTTAGGCTAATTCTTGAAGATTTCAGTCTATAATGCGCTAAGACAAAAAGCGTAAAATGGGAAGAATGAATAGTTCCTGCCTTAAAAAGACTGAAATGAAATCATTTCAGTTGGCCAAAGCAGAGGCCCCCTCCCCGCCAACCATGCCCAACCTACTCAAGCTGCAACTCTTTTTAAAAGTTAATTTATTTCTAGCAGCATACACATATTTCAGAGACCTATAAAAAAAATTTTTTTTAAATGGCCTCCACCAATTTCTGTACAAAATTACATGTGGTGGGGGGAAGCCTAATTATTGTGAATTTCCAGAAAAATGCTCTGGAAAGACAAATTGAGGAGGAGGAAGAGGAAAGGAAAAGGAGAGCAGAGGCGTTTTTTTAGAACTAATAATACCAGTCAGGCTAATGGCACTGCCCATGACTGCACAGCAGCCGGCCCTCCATACCTTTGAGGGGGACAAAGTTTTGCCACCCCAAAATATGCTTTTAGGGATACTGACTTTTAAGCTGGTAATTTCTTAATAAACAAAAGACTCAAAATGAACCCTCCCCTTGCCTGCCTAAAGGAATTCAGACAGAAATACCTGCTTAAAGGATAGGAGCATCACCTTAGCATCATATTATAAACTAAAAGTGGCAGAGAGGGAGAAATCCAGCCAAGCCTGTTTGTTGGACACCCCTCTGTGTCCCACTGTTTCTGGGTGACCCACCAAGAATTTGTTTACCACATGTTTGCTCTTTCTTGTCTACCTGTAAACTGCCCGCCTTCTCTTTGAAATCCCAGACCCCTGCTTCCCTCTCCTTTGTCCAGGATGGCATGGAAACCTCAAAGCCCAATGCGTCTCCAGATCTCATATTCTGATGGCACCCCCGCATGAACATCCGTGATAAATTGTGGACACTCTCCCCTGTTGATCTGTCTCATGTTAATTTATTAGCCCAGGTAGAACTTAGAAGATGGGAGGAAAAATTATTTTTTGTGTCCCCACACCTCTGACTAAAAAACTCTTTTACTTGGATATATGGACAGTCCATCATTTCAAACTGAAATGGCAGCTGGAAAATGTGGAACAGCTGGCAAGGAGCTGGGAGAAAATGTTTTACATAAATACATGTACATATAAACTGGCAGTGGGCCACGAGCACTGCACCCAAGGCCAGAATCCCTTCGGCACCGCACGTCAGGGAGAGAAGTTGGAGGCAGGAAGAGTGCGAGGTGGCTGCCTCCTAAAGCCTCTTTCTACACGGGGTCAGCAAGGGAAGCCTGGGTCCAGCCTCTCTAGGGGTGGCATCTCCTGAAGGAGGTGCAATCAGGGACAGGAGCACAAAGTTCAAGGAAGGATAAAAGGCCCGAGTGTGCAGCGGTGCTTTGGCCTCTAGCAATCTGCTTGAAAGTCGTTTCACAAAGTCTCCAAGTTTGGGGTAAATATTTACTCCCTCTCACCTCCTCCCTTCCATTTTCCCTTTGCAACTCAAAGTAACTGTCCCCCGCAGAGTCATTCACACACAATTCTGCTCTGTGAAAATTCGGCCTCTTAAACGATTGCAGGGGCCACATTACCCACACACCCGCACTCACTCCCTGCAGCTTCTAACGCTTTTATTTCTTTTGTTTTCTGTTATTTCTTGTGTGTGTGTGTGTGTGTGTGTGTGTGTGTGTGTGTGTGTGTGTGTGCGCGCGCGCGCGCTGTCCCTAGAAAGGAAAAGAAATGAAAGAATCCCAAATCATATACAGATGGTACAACTTTCACTTTTCCTCTATTACGGCGGAGGCGCGCCTCTCCCTGGGCGCACACCGCTTCCCCGCCCTCCGAAGGGAAACTCAGGCTGGAGGAAACCCCGCAGCCGCGAACCCCGCGCGGACCCGCCCGCCGCCCGCCGCCCGCCGCGCTGGGCACCGGAGGGGGACGCAAGAGTGCGCAGGCAGGCAGACGCCCGAGCTTTAGGGATCTAATCTAACTTAGCTCCTCTTCACCCTTTGGGTGGGGAATGGGTGCGAGAGGCGCCGTCGTCGCTGCTGCAAACTTCGTCCCCATCCAGGATGTGCAATTCTCCAGTCCGTCTCCGGACGGCCGAGGGGTCAGACACTTGGAAAGGGAGCTTCAAGAAGTGAGCGAATGAAAGCCTTGCTCTGACGCCTTACGGGTTGCTCGCTAAATCTGGGCGCCTTTGACAGCCATTTTCACATCCTCCGGTTCCCCCCACTGGGGAACCCCTCTCGACCTGGCGGCGCCCGCACAGCGGCAGGAGCAGGCTGCCCGTTGCGCGGCCCGCGAAACAAAGAACTTCGGGTGGGACGTACCTGCGGCAGCGGCGGCTGTCAAGTCCCCAAACTTTCCATAGACCCACATCTGGGACGCGGGCGGGTGGCTCCCGGGTCCGCGAGGCGCAGGCGGCTCCGACTACTGCAAGCGGAGGGGCTGGGCGCGAGGAGCGCCGGCCGTGGGCATGGTGCGGCGCAGGCGGCCGCCGGGCGCGCGGGGAGGGCGAGTCGGGGCGGCGAGTATGCGCGACGGCGAGTGTGCGAACGCGCCGGTGGCGCAGCCCCTGCCCGCTCCCGCCCGCTCATGCAGCTCCGGCATCGGTTTCAGGGATCTTGTAATCCGATCCCTTCTGACTCACAGGCCCTGAGTGACAGTTCTGATTTGGTTCACCCGCGAGAAGGAGGGGAAAGAGAAAGAAAGAAAGCCCCCACCGTATGCCCCTCCTGGCATCCAATCGACTTTCTGGAAGAAGGTCCCATCCCGGCCTGGAGACCCGCGCGGGTGGAAGATCCCCCCACCCCAGCCCAGTGCAGCCCGCGCTACTCACACGGTGGAAAAGTTGTCCCTCGGTTCTACTGTCCCTCCCTCGCGCTCCCTCTCCCTCCTCTCCTCTTCCTCCTCCTTCTGCCCGCGCTCCTCCTCCCCCAAGTTTTAACAGATGTTGCCGGACTCTCCCCTCACCCGCGCGCTCCCTCTTCCTCCGCCCCCGCCCCCGCCCTCGCCCTGTCCCCTTTCTTTCTGCCACTCTCTAGCGCCGTGGGGACGCTCCGAGCTGCTGGACGCCTGCCGCCGCAGGGGGCGAAGTTGGGAAAACTTGGAGTGCAGCTTGCCTTACTTTTGCTTTCTGGTTCCTTCCAGGCCGCGCCGGGTCCCCGTGCCCGGAGCGGGTCCCAGCTGCGAAGCGGGCGGTGCTGCCGAGGAGGCGGCGCGGCGCGGGCCGAGGTAGGGGACTGGGGGGAGCCGGGACGCCGGGAGCCACGCGCGTGCTCCCTCCCCCCGCCGCCTCCTCCTCCTCTCTCCGGTCCTCACGCAGACACATTCATGCCTGCTCCTCCTCTTCCCCCTCCTTGACCCCGCGCCCGCTCCGCGCGCCGAGGCCCCACCCACCCGGCGAGGGGAAGGGGGCCCGGGCGTGATGTCACAGCAGCCCTCCCCGCCTGCGCTCGCAGCCCCGCTGGGACGCCCCCGCTGGCCCCCACCCCAACGCCCTGCGCGAGGGGGCTGCGTCCTGCCCGCTCGCATCGCCTCCCGTCCCGCCTCTCCGCTCCCTTTTCTCTCGCTCACAGTTTGGGTCCCTTTTTTCTTTTAAGGCCTCTCTGAGCACACCCCTCATTGGCTCCCCCTTTACTTGTACCATTACCCAACCCTGAAACTCCCTCTCTCACCAGAGGATGCTTTTGGAAGCTCAGGGTTTTCCTCTCCGCCGGTCTCATCTGCCCTTGGGGCCAATTCTGGGAAGTGGGAACTCCCACTACACAGCCTGCTGTCCCCATGGGCCACTTTATAAAAGCACACAAAAACAAAGACCCCGGGCTTGGAGCCTGGACTCCTACGTGGTGCTTTTCCCTGAGCTACAAAGTGTCTCTGTCCCTGATTTATTTTCAGCGGCCCATACTAGTAGAAATGATTTTCCCTCCTTCTTCAACCAGCCAACCTACATCTGTTCCCTTTCAATGTACCCAACCTGGACCTGGAACTTAAAAAATGAGGAGGAACAAAGGAAGGAAAAGAATGAAAGAAAAAAACAACCTGTGACATTCCAAAATCCATTCTCCTGGAGTAAACTGAGCGCCTACCCACCTGCCCGGCAGCCAGCAGTGCCTGGGAGCTCAGGGTGCATTTGTGTTGACTGCTGAGTGTATTGACTGAACGTAAAGAGTGGGTGGATGACTGATTAGCTATTATGATTTGAAGAGCATTTTGAGATTCAAATGCTTAACTGGAGAATTTTCAGACAGAATTGATGATGGTATTCACTATTTGTTTCCTGGGACTTGTTGCTTATCTAAAGACTCCACAAAAGCTGACTCTGACTTAGCTTTGTGATAGAAGCTGTGGAGATAAAGTAGGCCTGAAGGTCTTTTTTAGGCACTTATTAATTTTAAGATGTCTCTCTGCCTCACCCCTCTCAAAAGGAAGGAAGGGAGGGAGAGAAAGAGAAAGAGAGAAAACCCACCACTTACTGCACAGAGCAAGTGTCTCAGGACACAAGGGTGGCGGCCCCAGCTTCCCTCACTAACTGGTCCCAGGCACGGAAGGATACTGTGAGCCTCCAGGCTCAGAGCCTACCTGTGGGGCGGTGATAGGAAAACCAGGCCGCATGCCTCCTGGGATTTATATGGGTTTCCAATAAGATAATGCATGTGAAAGTATAAAGGACACAAATGTGTAAGAATTATTATTATACTTTTGCAGTTGCAGAGAATTGTAAGCAACTCTTTCCCACATAAACTCCTCCAAATCAGTCATAATTTTGTTTGTATTCAAGTACTGCTTCTGCCTTCATCACATGAATGCAAATAATACATCCTGATAGCCTCCTCTGTTCACCCAAAGGTAAAAAATAAATAAAAAGACAGCCAATAAATCAACAACTCAAACTCGATATTTTGACTTTTGTTAAAACAGTCTTCTAGCAGATTTTGGATCACGAAGATCTTGATTCTCAGTTTTAAAAAGACAAGAGTAAACAAATAACAGCTAATCTTTCCCCGTATGCCCATCAGAATAGCTAAAAACAAAAGAGGAATAGGCCAGCTGAGTGGCGCGTTGGGTAAGAGTTGGGTTGGGAGCGCGAGCTCTGAGTAGCAGGGCCCTGGTTTGGATCCCACATGAGGGCCAGTGATGCTGTGCCCTCTACAGCCAAGATGGTGAACAACAGCTCGACCTGGAGCTGGCCTGTCTTGAGTCCCAGGCGACAGCGAAGGCTGCAGTGGGGCTGGCCGGCAGCTGGCGTGCGCTTTGGTGAGCGGCTGTCCAATGGCCGGCAAGCGACTGCCTCACCCGGGAAGAGCGCAATGATAATACCAACATGGGCCAGTGAAGTGACGTCCTCCACAACTAGACTGAAGAACAAAAGGACAGCAACTTGTCTGTTTCCCTCCCCCAATTCCCCAATAAAAATATTTTTTAAAAAGGAATAATGGTGGTGTCTACTGTGTGTCCCTATTTCCTCACCTTATATTCTTGGCGGAAACTTAACAGCTCTGTTTTGGTGGTAAACATATATGTAAGTGGGCACATTTTGCAGAAACGGCAGAGGGAAAAAATATGGTTTGCCTTCGTGTGACTTAAATAGTGACAATGCAATGACTTTCAACCTATTCTGACACAAGAACTCTTTCCAAATGAAATCTTAACGCAGAATCCCAAAACATAAAGGAAAGCTACTCTGGTTGCAGTTGGGGTGGGGTCTCCTGAGACATCTCTAAAAATCCTAAAGGTACCCTGAAACTCAATATTGGAACCTCTCTTGGAATGATAAACAGGCACTTACAGACCTACAAGGCGCTGAGATTGCCCTTACTCCATGTCTAAAATTCCACCATTATAGAGTCATTTATTGCTATCTCTCATCAGTTCTCTTTTCAAATGCAAATCACCTAGGAAATTTTAATATAATGAGTCCTCAAAATGATTAAGCTTATAAGACAGACTTTTTTTTTTTTTGGCAGCAAATTGAATGAAGTAGGAGACATGAAGATATTTGTATTAGTTTCCTAGGGCTGCCACAAACTGGGTGGCTTAAAACAACAGAAATCTATTGTCTCACAGTTCTGGAGGCTAGGAGTCCAAAATCAAAGTCTCAGCAGGGCCACGCTCCTTCTGAAACCTCTAGGCAGCGGTTCTGAACCTTCCTAATGCATCCTAAGGGGTCCTTCCTAAGGGGTCGCGACCCCTTAATACAGTTCCTCATGTTGTGGTGACCCCCAACCATAAAATAATTTTCGTTGCTACTCTATAACTGTAATTTTGCTACTGTTATGAATCATAATGTAAATATCTTTTTGTTTTCTGATGGTCTTAGGTCGCGACCCCTGTGAAAGGGTCGTTCGACCCCCAAAGGGGTCGCGACCCACAGGTTGAGAACCGCTGCTCTAGGGGAAGAGCCTTCCTGCCTCTTCCTAACTTCTGGTGGTGTCTGTCAATCCTTGGTGTTTCTTGTCTTGTAGCCACTTTCTTCCAACCTATGCCACTATCGTCACAGAGCATTCTCCCTTTGCTTGTCTCTCCTCTTCTTAAGGGCACCAGTCGCTTGGCCTAGAAGCCTACCCTACTCCAGTATGACCTCATCTTAAGTAAGTATGTCAGCAACAATCCTGTTTCTAAATCAGGAGTTAGAGCTTCAGCGTGTCTTTTTGTGGGGAAAAGGGGAGACAAAATCGAACCCATGACAACACTGAAAGACAATGTTGGGTGAAGGATCTGCAATTGAGAAGACAAAGAATGAAGCTGAGAATAAATTTCCCATGCTCCTCTGCACTTTGGTGCCCTGTTGTGTGTGCTGTACATAATGACTGTTCTTGCCTTCACTTACCACTGCAGCTCTCCCTGCACAGTTGCCCCAACTAATTATTGGGGATATTTCATGTGTACCGATAAACTCCCAGCTGCAAGTGACACAATTCCAACTCAAATTAGCTTAAAGGGGGGAGGAGGAGTGTTTTGCTGACTGAGAAGTCCAGAAGTGTGTATGCAGGCTGCAGACAAGGCAGGATCCAGGGGCTCAAACAAATGCCAGCTGAGTTCTGTTTCCATCTCTCAGCTAGGTTTTCATTCACACTTCAGACAAACTTTCTTTAGGCAATCAAGGAAGGTGGCCAGAGACAGCTGCATTTTGCATAATCAACCTTACTATTTGCACTTGAGAATAATTACTTGTCCAAGGGGATGTAATATTCCCCTTGACCAGGCAAGAGCGATAGTTGCATGGTAGGTGCACGATTAACACGTCTTAAAGCCCAACATGAATAGCCACCATTTTCTTCCTTTTGTGCTGCTTCCCTCCTGTAAATGCAGGACTATCACTTTTGCTTCAGTTGTCCATCACGGGGCTGCCTACTGGGAGGCGGTGCATCCCACATCTTTTTGGGGGAGAAGAGTCCTCTCACTCTTTGGGTCACATACTTGACCACAGCTCTTTCATATATTATTACTCGTGTATAAGTATCTTACCAATTTTCCATCTGAAGGTAGCTGATTGGCTAAGAGTCTTCTTTCCTTAAGAATTAGTACCTCCTCTTTGATCTCAAGGCTCTCATGATGTAAACGCAAATATCACCTACCAGCCCCAAGTGAGACTTTACTGTTGGACCAACCCTTTCTGCTGCATGCTCTTTGCACTTACGGTGAGGTATTTCCCAAGAGCCTCCTCAGACTGGCATGCATATGGATTCTTGCAGACTTCATAACCAACCCACTCAACATTTCAAACATTTCTGAATTATAGCAGAGAGCACAGATTAGCACTGAAACTAGGACCCTTAACATCTCTGTCTGCATGTATGTCTTTCAGAAGTTTGTAGGTGCCAGTTAAGACAGTCATTCCCTAAGGATTCTCACCACTTTGAAAAATGGTGGGAATTGAAATACTGTATGGGCTGCATTTGAGAACTATAGTCCAAAACAAAAATAAGGTTTCTTGCATCCGTGCATGCTCCCACAACTGACCTGATCCCTGAGTAGGAGAAGCTGGAGAAGGCAGAACTCCCTCCCAACCAGGCAGCCATGACTATGTGTTATCTCACCGGTGTGAGTACCTGGAAAGAGGAAACTTGGTCCCTGGGGGCATGCAAAGGAGATAGAACAAGAATCAAGGCTCCAAATCCCACTGTCACCCAACTCATTACTCTATCACCCTGTCTCCCTACTCTGACTTCCTATTCTCCTAAGGTGCTGTCTTCTGGATTCCCTCTGATTCCTACACTGAGTGATCTGAGTTCCTGAGGGCAACTCCAGGCACACTTAAGTTTCCTGCTGCTCCCTCTCATTTCCTGGGCATCCTGGTTCTGCCTACACGGCACCCACTAGCCAGTGTGCATACAGGGAAA